CCGGCTGCTGGCGGGCGGGGGTCCGCGTCCCTCGGGCTGCGGGCGAGCAAAGTCGAATGCACGTTAGTCAGAAAACAAGGTTTCTAGCCTCCTTTAGCTTGTAGCCACGGACACAATTTGCAAAATGAAGTTATACACAGTAAATGAAAAGGAAAAAGTAGAAAATGTGATAAAAATTTGTTCCAGCACAAACGGACACAAGAAGCAAATGCAACTCTAATGAGAAGACCTTTCTTTTTTTAATAGTGAAAGCTAATCTGTCCAAAAGCAAACCTATGAAAAATAGGCGAGGAGAGTGAGTGGACAAAGGCTGGACTAGGCAGCAGAAGTGGGAAGCTGGTCATGGACCAGCAGCACAGAGCTGGCACCAGCCTCGCTCTCTACCTGTACTTAGCCCACACCAGTGACACGGTCTGTCCAGTTTTACCTCTAAACAAGGAATACTAGGCCTGACGCTAGAACAAGCAGGCATGCTGGTAGCTGCAATATTTGGCTTTGAATAATCTCTTTCTAGACTCTTTAAATCGCTTTTGTTGGGTTTCCTCCAAGGAGAGGTAGGCCAACAGAATGATCGGCCGTGTTCCTCAGAGGGCAAGACAGCTGTAATGCAAGGTGAAGAGAGCAAGGAACGCGTTTGCCACAAGCACTGCACCATTTGATGAGGAGAACATGCTACTGTAGAGCAAACCAATGGGAAAAGGGGCTTCAGACTTTATTTCCCCTCTGGCAAATCCATGTTCTGGCAGTTTTTACCCACTTGAGTTGATGGAAGAGAGACATGGTCTCCCGGGCGCCGCGGGGAGACATGCTACATGTATTGTGAAGATAACTGTGGTTTCTAGAGTCATTTTTATTGTGACAACGCCACTCTGTCCTGTCTTCAAAGGTAAAAAGGGTAAGCAGCAAACCAATACCTTCATAAATAACACTCTTTGCTCAAAGACAGCATGCAAAAAGAGCATGCTCCGGACTGAACATCGACTGAGTGTCGTTTGTCAGTAAGGCTTCCAGAATGTACAGGTATCACAGTACCAGAACGACCATAATAAAAAGAAAGGAATTTTCCATAGCTATGTACAAGCAAATTATGCAGATACATGCAACAAAATAGATTTTGCTTTATTCTTGTAATTGAGAGCTCACAATATTTCCTTTTTTGTACAAAAGTGGATACAACTGTAACATAAAAATCTGAAGACCTACACAGAACACAGTATGATTACATCTCCTGCAGCAGCTTCTTTCCTAATCCTCTTTCCAATCCCTCACACACAAAGATAAATTCTTGCAATCCTGACATGAGGATTATTCTTGAAGTAAAACATAAGCTGTAATCTTTCTGAAGCTGCCTGCTGCTCAGAATTAGGGCTGAGTGTCTGAGCATATCCATATTGCAGGGACCCACTGGGGCTCGTCCTGCGCACGATGGACTGCAGACAGCAGCTGCGCAGATGCTTCTTGTAAATTGTCATTCACAATCACTTGATCAAAGAACTGACCAAACTGAGCTTCCATTTTCTTAGCCGAATCTTCCATCTCCTGTAAATCTTCTTCCTGCGAGACACAGAGTAAGTCTATAAAGCTTTAATGTTGTAAACAAACATACCTGCATGGCATCTGCAGAACACCTTGGGCCACGTAGACAAGAGGTGAATATAGTGCCAGTGTACTTTATATCATTTACAGTTTGCTGTCGTAAAGTACACGTGCTACAGTCAGTCCCAAGTCTCTGAAACAGAGCCGACTGCCATATTCTTCCCAAGGAGATACCCTGTGTCTCAGTATGCTCCATTTGCCCCAAAAAGGTTATTCTACTGCCAGGTGCTGGCAGAGGACGTTAGGGACTCGAAGGCAAATCCACTAGCACTTGTGTTCTCGTTCCACACTTCAGTTTATTTCCCCAGTGTTCCTGTTTCTTTCTGCCATAGCAATCACGATTCCTTTCCATATACAGTTATGGACTGAGGTCTCCAAAATTTTAAGACGCTAAACTTCATGATAATTTGCATGGAAACAATTGTGACAATGCACTAGACACACTGTAAATACAAGATATGCGTTTCCTACAAGCAGGATTTGTGTTTTATCTATAGAACTTAGTATAGAATTGATATTGATACTGTCATTAAGCATACATGAAATAACAATACATTCTTATAACCACATGAAAAAATATTTGATTAAATTACCGAATGAAGCACCTCCCTGATATTTCAGTGCAAACAGTAAATGTATGTGTTGACTCAAATCTTGTCACAAGGCAGTTAATAAAAACAAAGATGTACAAAATAGCCTCTCCTTTAAAGGCATTTTGAAGCAAAATGCCTCCATCCCCTAGGTGCAAATTACAACACTTCTGCTTCAGAGCAAATCTGGAGGGAGGAAAAATCCCAGCAAACCAAACAGAAAAAGACAAGAATAACTTAGATTTGATCCTAAAGACACAATAATCTTCTAAAGAGTTAACCTAGTAACATAGTAGAACGCAGTATGTTCTAAACACAGAATCCCAGAATAATAAGCTGAGTCTCTTCAATTCCCAAATCTCACCTTGAATTTCATGTTCACATAATAATCTGTAATGATCCTGGCATTTTTACGAGTCTGCCTCATGCAGCTTATGCTGGATGGCTTGATGAATATAATGTAGGGCTTTAATTCATGAGTCCGGGCTACTTGTATGCCCTGCAAATTAAGAGTAAAAAGAAGTATTCATCCCAGTTTTACTCCCATAAAAAGCCAACTGTTTACAACGTGCTGTTATCTCCAGACCTAGCAGTAATCTTTTTCAGGAACACCTACTTTAAAATGACCTCACTAATAATCCCTGGACCAGACCATTGTCAAGCAACTGTAGCATACCAGTCACTTAATTCTGCTTGGTAACCTTACTAGGAGATGCTTTCAACTCCAGTGAATGACTGGACATTGTCATTAAGAGATCTCTACAATCAACAACACTAAAGATGAATCTGAAATCTGTTTTTTTAACTGCTGGGGAGCTACCTTTG